GTTGCCTTTAGGACCAAGGTCTGTTTGGCTTTCTTGTGGTCTGTTTTCGTTTTTTTTATTTTATGTAGAGTATGTTAAATGCATAATGTATGCCGTCGATTTGTGTGATTCGTAGGATGCTTTGTGTTGGATGTGTCGTGTTTGTATCATTTTCAGGTTCTCGAATATGACCATTTTTATCCCTTTTGTCATGGAACAATTTAAACTTGCCTTTTGTGTGAGGTGAGGTTGAATAGTTGGATTGCCCGTCATTATCTTTAAATGGTGTATGTTCATTTTATCTGTCTTATTTTTCGTTCCGACTGTCCGATGCATTTATCCTCGCATTGGCAATTCATTGTACATAATATATGTACCGTTTTATCTTATATGAGTTTTATCTCAGAAATTTTCTTATGATGTTTATTGCTATTAGTACAGTTTTTATGCTCGATTTAATTGCTAGGTTGGTTAGTTTGTACTCCTTGCGTAAGTATGTGAACGTATTCATTTGTTGACTGTTTCTTAAGTTTCGTTTATGCAAATGTATTTTCTTTATTGGTTTATAATTAGTGCCTATATCGCAGACGGTGTTTAGGAGGGTATTTCAACTACACAATTATATTAACGCTCGGAGTGCCGGTGTTTTTGAAAAAGCAACAGTTTGTTTATAGTGTTTAAAGGTTAGGTTATGATTGTTTAATGGTGCTGTTTTTAGTCAGCACATCACGTAATATCAGGTCTCTACATATATCTAATTATTGTTTGTTGCTTGTTTTTGTAATAGTTAGTCCAAAAAAGTGTATGTTTTTTCGGCATTGAGTCCAATTTGTTAGATTTTGGTGCCTACTAAAACCATTATGCCATCAGTGTATTTATTGTATATGTTTTGTAATAATTTAGTGTGAGTACTTATTTTATAAAAATATATTGAATGAAGTGGGCTTTAGACTTTGCTGAGTTTTCTTTAACACGAAGTTAACATGTTTTGCCAGCATGAGTCGTGTATCGTGTAATAGTAGTCGTGTAATCTTTGTATAGACAAGCAAAAATTCCGAGTGTAAATAAGTTGAACGATGATAAAATAGTCACTCGTCGTCCGCACGGCGGTTTTACGTATCAAACAGGTTGATCACCCATAGTATTGAATTTATTCAAATGTTGTTGCGGGTAGGAAGTACTTCCTGTCTCTTGGAACTTGGAACAACTCCTACTCAAATCGATGAAAACGGGTCGGCTCAACGGATGATCGAATATATTAAACTAGTGCTGTGATTTATATGCAATAAAAACAGACAAATATGCACACATATATGTAAATATATTTGGTAAAAAATGCAATTTAAAACTGAAAATATGTGTGGTGATTAGTCACCATTAATCGATAATTATTCAGAAATCGTGAGACGCGGTCTGTGTGATGTAGGTTTCAGAAAAACATTTTCTTTATCGTGCCAACGTTTCGATCTTTATTGAGATCATCTTCAGGGCCTGGGATTTACAAACATTGTTTAAATTTAAAAATACATGTAGGATGTGGAAAAAAGTGAATTTATACAATGCAAAATATATATTTTATATTCAATCAAACTATTTCTACTCACTCAAAGTGTTTGTCTTCTGTGTAATTGTGCCTTCTTGCGTGTCGTGTGCCAGTGAGATATTGCTGTTTTATGTTTATATATGTTGGATTTTGAAGGGGTGGGGAAGGAAGTTACATACAATTGTGCTCTAACTAAAGAACGACATAAATAGGTATCAAAACCGGACTTTCCAGACCCAGCTCCTGTGGCAGCTTGTGTCACAAAGGTTTGTTGAAACTTAGACTTCCTGCCTTTCCTTATGTTTTGCTGTCTTTATGTTTGTTACCAAAAAACGTGTAGCTGATGATACAGGTTTATCACAACCAACAAAGTATAAAACGTCTGTATTGCCCTTAAAAGTCCCACACTCACGCACATACTTTTGAACAAGATCTTTCGTCTTTGCGGTGACTTTCGGCATTTTAGGAGTAGTCAGTTCACAACAGACAAATAATGTTTCACGATGGCAAACGCATGAGAGGCTGGGTAAAACTGAGAAGTATGATGGTAGCGAAAGAAAACTTAGGTCGTGATATTTCCATGAATCCAATTAAACTACTCCAAGAGAACATTTACAGCGGTACAAACACTATTCCTTTCTACTGTGTATTGAGAGGGAATGTATTTATTACCGTGAATAATGTGAGGGTCTATGGCGGAATACTGAGTACCCCGTTAACCCTCAAATCGGTTAATTATATAATTTCTTTATATGTACATAAAGATCATATATAATCGCCCCGGGTCAGATCTTAGTCTCCGAGGTTGGGCTCCAGGGACTTACAACAACTAGGTCATCTCATCCCCCGAATGAAATCAGTTCCTAAATCCAAACCGATTCACATTCTCACTCACTCTTAAAAAAATCTTTTCTATTTACATACCATTCACTCAGTGAGGGTGGAGGAATACTCGATATTCCTCCATCACCCTCCACATCTATTATATAACTAATGTAATTAAGGGTCGATAGGGTGCTCAATATTCCGCCTTAAGACCTCTCATGCTACACATTCATGCCAATAAATACATTCACCTTCAACACACACTCAGGCCTATATACAATAAAATAGCCCTGTTTCACCCAAAACACAGATACTCTGCCGTCCTCAAGGACAATTCTCATCTCAACACGCTCTTTAATGGAGCCCGGGAGCTCTTCGAATAGGTGGGACACATCATGCAACTTTTCCCTACATGCCCTACATCTTTGGTGTAAAAGTGGGTGTCCGTGTGTCAACCTCGTACGGCCTATCCTTAATCGGGTAATGGCCTTTCTTCTACGAGTCAGATCCTCCGAGGGCCGCCAACGACAGTGCTCTTGATACGCGAGACCTTCTTAGCCGATCCGGCACACCGACACTCCCACTTTCTTTTAATCGTGTTTTTTATATCATTTTTACAGTCAGAGGGCCGGATCAGAGTGGTTATATGTTTTTATGTTCATATTTTGTCTTCTAAAATATATTATTATTTTATTACAGATATTGTTTTATTGAAAAGATGATATAAAAATGTATCATGACATGTAAGTAAATTAATGTTTTGTAGATTTATCGACCAGCTTATGCAGATAATGTTCACTTGGACATCAGGGAAGTGGTCAAATAAAATATAGCATTCGGAACTTTATTGTACCTTCTTCAAGGCTCTACAAAAGGATATACTATACATTTTTAATTTTGGCCACGATAAAGTTCCGAAAGCTAGGCGAAGATTTAAAATTAAAAACATTTTATTTGACCACATCCTTGATAACCAAGTGAACAGTAAGTAAATTAGGTTCGGACATTATTGCGGGCCACACGGTTTTATTGAAATTTGCTATATCGCTTTTTGTCTGGATTTGGTTATTCAATCCATATATAATTTTTCATGCACAACTAGTTTTCTATTCCATTTGATTTGACAATAGTAAAACATGGTTTTGGGAACCGTTGGTTGGAGTTGAGCCCTCCTGTACTTTCTTTCATGGAAAACCTCTGATGCTCTAATTTTATTGTCAAAGTGTTAGAAGGTAATAAATTGAAAACAATGGTGTAACCAACTTTTGAAAATTATTTTGTTATAAATATTGTTGTGATAAATTAAATAAATTAAAAAAACTATAAAAATAAAAAACCCGTAACTAATTGTATTTCCAATTCAATATACTTTATACAATATTGTTTAATAAAAACTAGTACATTCAAGGATATTCGAAATTCATTCTTAGTTCCTTAAAGATTTGATATTTGGGTAAAACTGCAAAATTTCAGATTGAAAACCTTTATGAAAAACGATTGGAAAAATGTTTTACATTGAACCAGAACGTTATCGAAAGCCACCAATTTTCGCCTATCGACCAGGTTTTTTTGAAGGAAGAATCAAGATTTTTGCCATAACTTAATTTCCCAAAGCAGGGAATTTAGAATCAAGACAAGTCGAATATTTCCTTCAACTTTATCCGAGTTTGTCGGACCGTACACTGAAGTCCCTAGCCGGACTGTTTTAAAAGCTAGGAAATCGTGACAAAAATTTTCATTTCATATACATTTTTCCTATTCTCGGATAGAAAAACAACAAAATTACTTTTTTCTAATCTAGTTTTAAGTATTATTTTGAATATTAGGTTTGATAAAATGAAACTTTGTTTGATGGGATATACTACACATATTTTTTTTTGTTGTCAAATGTCTTTATATCGCAGTTACTTCTCAAACGATTGATATGTTACTAAGAAAAATTGTCAAAATGCTTTAAAATAGAAAATTTCATTACATGACATCATCAAAATACTATGAATGATACTAGACCAGATAACAAAAACGTAGCTATTTATCTACAAATCATACACGTTTTGCCTATCGAACGGGTCAGTTTTATCAAGAAGGCTCAAGACCTAAAATCCCAAACAGTTGGAATTGAGTCGAAGTTAAATATTTTCATCAACTTCATCCAAGATTGCCGGACAGAGCGGGTTCTTTATGGGAACTGCAGTTCAGCAGCCAGTCTACCACGACCGTAAAACCGGTAAAACCTGATAGTTTATCTTTAAAAAAATTGCCTTAAGACAAAAACAGATAACAAAACACACACACACACACATTCTTAATAAAGCAGTGTTGATATTAATAATTGTTATGGCATTGTGGTGAGAGGAATTGAGAAAGTATATCCAAATTAGTACAAATTCGTATAATTAGTGGATCTTTAAATCGGATGACAATTGTACCAAGACCTTGTATCAGTGCTTATTTTATGGTATGATTTTTAATCTTATAGATTATCTTTACCCTGAGCGGATTCAGAAACAATGACAATTTCTTAAAAACAAGCATACAACCGTTTTCACAAACAATACAAATACGATTTTAATTATGTAGTGATTGCACCGTGCATTCATATTATACATATTGACTTATATTTGGAGGGATAAGAAGTAAAAAAGGATCTCACCGGTGTAATATTGAATTGTCGAAGGTTTGTTCGTGCAGGATCTTCGTGCGTCTCGCTGTAAAAGTGAAACGAAAGGAAAAAAACCGGCCGTGTGTTAGATCGCGTGTTATCCTTCGAAAGACGTAGGACCTGGTGTAGAACGGCGTCTAGTGTCTCCTGGCCAAGTCCTGCGGGACTCTGAAAGGCTGAACACTTCTTCGCAACCCCTTCCATCCCGTCCGGGCCCCTCCATCGCGGCCGGCTTCCGGACAGCTCTTCGCCCAGCTTCCCATAACGTCTTACTTTACCCCAGGCCCCGAACACGGATACTCTTTCTACGGTTCGAATGAATTTTCCGAGTTTTTTTTTCTCCCGTTGTTGGTAGATTCACGTTGGTGCTTTATGCCGGCCAGGCGGCCCGGCCCACTTTTCCTATTCGACACGGAGTTAAAACGCTTATCCCGGCGTGGCAAAAGTTCTCACATAAATGGAAACAATTGGGTTTATCACAAAGAAAACCAATTGAATAAGACAAATTTAATATAATGAAATAAACGAATATGTTTGGCCTGGCCCATACTCGTCATGTGTAAGTATGACGATAGCAATAATTTAGTATTCAATAAACGGCTCTATCGAATGAGTGAAACGATCAATAATCTCTTTTCTTGATGAAAGCATAACAAAATATGTATAAAACATGGGGATAGAGAGACAAGAGAACAGCGTCCAACAAGTAGGGCTTAAGTGCTTCTCCACATATCTCATACCCGCAATAAAAGTGTCACAACTCAACAAACGAAAATTTTATAGGGGAGGCAGATGGAAGTTTACTTTATTTGAGTATTAAATACACGCCATTATGGCTGTTGGTAATAAAAACTGTCATGAACAATACTGTCTTTCTTTTCTCCAAGACTTCAACGAAAACACAAAATTTTAAAAATCCAGCTGTACTACCAATAAAAAACTATCCCGTTTTGAGTTCTTACACTTTTCTTGCATATATTGGCTCTAATTAACCTTTAATTTAAGTTAGTTTGTTTGCTCTACAATAACAGTGGTCAATGAATGACTGAAAGGGTATTAATTTCTTTGTGTTAGTAACATACAACATACAAAACTAACAAACGGGGCGTCGGTGGCCGCAACGGTTTAGTTTAGTCGACACGGCGCTCATCACTGGAAGGTAAAGGTCTCGGGTTCGAATCCAGCGGCCCTGCCTTCGAACCCGACATACTTGCAAATGGGCTTTTTTTCAAAAACACCGGCACCCCCTATGACCTCTGATGTTGCGAACCCTCGTAACAAAATAAATAAATAAACAAAAAAAAATTAATTAATTAAAATAAAAATAAAAAGCAGTTCTGGGTTTGAATCCCGGCATAGCCCTTGTAATTTTTAATGGATTAAATCCCTCATCCATGAATTCAATAAATTTTTCTATATTACCCTCATATATTATTGTTTTGTTTAAAGGCAATTTTAAGTGCTGTTATTAAAGTCTGCTATCATCCTAATTCATTGTTGAATTTAAATAAAAGTAAAATATTGTTTGATATTTGGTTGTAGCTGTATCATATTTTAATTGTTAGGCATGTTCCTCGTTTGCGGAGAGCTTTACAGTCAAAAAGGCCTAACAGTGGCTCATTCTTGTCGGTCAACAATGCTTCGATATAGAATAAAATATAAAATACCTAACAAACAAGCATAAATAACCACTGCGAAAAACATACTTGTACAATTGATGTAGCAATTGTTTTTCATAATGTAAAATTAATGTAGGTCCTGATGATGACCTTTAAATAGGTCGAAAGCTATAACAACTGAATTTGCTTTTCTCTTCAAGGCGATACCTTGATCCAGTATGTGAAGTGTATTGGTCGATACTTTTACCATTGCAAACTAAAATAATTCTAAAATTAGTACTTCTTTGTTCTTACAGTGAAGAGAAAAAGGCAGCGAAAGAACTATGAATGCTGTCAGATTCAGTTAAAGACATGCAATAATCTTTTTTCACATAAAATATAATTGCGGTAGTTCAGTATTTACAATATTTCGATTTTCTGTAACGTTTTTGCTCTGCAACATTGAAACTGAGCATTCATGCTTCCCAGATTTGTTATTGAAATCTGAAGTGCCAGAACTGTCAGCATTATAGGTCACACGTTTCTTCTCATTGCATATTATCAATATGCAACGAAAAGATCCAATATCCATAACACTTTGCCCTAAAGTAGTTGCCAAAGAGGTGAAATTTGAAAACTGACAGACTTCATTACTATTCCTGACGGCAGTTTCCTTCTTGTTGGTTGTCAACGAATTTAGAATCAGTTTGTCCACATGTAAAAATCATTTTTACAAATATTTAAAACATATATATGCATATATATTATATATAACATGCAAATAAACTCTAAATCATGAATGTATTACTGCTGGAAGTTGCGACCCTTGACACGCAGGCGTATTATATTAAGATGTGTCGGTTATTATAACAAGAATAAGTTATTCAGGAGCAGCATAAAATCCTTCACTAAACAAGAAGAAAACTGACCTAACTAGAAATGTGCCTTTTTCCTGATAAATACTTACAGCGATGCTAAAAAGCTGGACACTGAACGCCACTTTTCGCGAATAGAGACAGTGCGTTCCCGTCAATTCAAAAGTGACACATGGTGTTGCCTAAGAAGCTAATCCATTTACTGTTATCTCATTTATCCTGTAGTATGACTCGCTAATTCTTCAAAAAATTTAAATAATCCGGTTTTTGAATTTTTCGGCCACTTTTCTTGTGGGTGTGCGATTTGGGTTACATCTCATTATCTAGCTTCAGGATGGTAAATCTTTTGCCACTTATAAATTCTATGGCATTTTCTTCGCTGAACTTGTGCTATAATTTTATTAAAACGAAAGTTAATGTTGATATATGAATCTTTGAAGGAAGAAGCCATAAAAGGCCTGATATTGTACCAAGTGCTATGAAGCACAACGAGGTTCATATATGTGATTTTTGAGTTGTCTAACATGACATCTGAATACTTCAAAAAATTTAAATAATCCGGTTTTTGAATTTTTCGGCCACTTTTCTTGAGGGTGTGCTATTTGGGTTACATCTCATTATCTAGCTTCACGATGGTAAATCTTTTGCCTCATATAAATTCTATGGCATTTTTTTGCTGAACTTGTGCTATAATTTTAATCGTCTTTATTTCTATTTATTTATTTGTTACATGCATGCTTAAGATTATGGGTCTATACTTAAATGAGTAGTTTACAAATATAAATACACTTGGAGACAAAAGTCAAAAGATCAACGAAGCCGTTAAATGACGGTATGAGCCATAAAACGATCGACTCTGCCGTCGTACAATCGCGGTCGACCACTAGCTTCTCTTCGATCGAGACTTCCGGTGGCCCTAAACCGCTGTAAACCATCGTGGTTTCTTTACTCAAATCCATTGTTTCATAAAAGAAAACAATTTAAAAACCAATTACTTCACTCAGCAAGTTGGCTCTGGAAAAGATGAATTGAACCGATTTTCTTTATTTTAATCTAAAACAATCGGAGGAGAAAAAGAGACGGACCAGACGTACATTCTTTACCTTTATCACTGGATCCTAACTTACAAGGAAAACTAAAGTCGTGGAGTCACCGATTGTAATGATCCCCAGGTTTTGGAGACTTATGCATTCACTGACTGGTTTTGATGTGATTGTTTTAAACAAGCTAATGTTTTAATAGCTGCTTTGATATCCGATCTTATGAGGATGTTTTAGCCAGTGTAAACTTTTTTAAGATTTTCTAGGCCAAAAGCATTGATGACTTGTATTGCTGTTTGAAAGGCCTAGTGTGCCGATAAGTGTACTTCCCTAATGAGGATTTTATGGCTATTACAATCATAATATAATAATCGAATGATATATTGATTCATTCGATTAAAAAAAACCTGCTGACTATTAAATGAGAATAAATATATAAAAAGTTACAAAAACGCTTTCAGAAAAGTAAGACAAAACTCATTTAAAAAAATCAATCGTTTTAAGCACACTTTAAGTACACATGCAGTTAGTTTATAAGGAAAACCCCTGTAATATTTCATGTAGATTGGAGGACTCGTTTCAAGTTATCATAATTTTTGTGCTTTACGGAAAAAATTGGAGGCAAGATTTTAGAGGAAATGTTTTTTTAATTTACATAAAAATTTTTATTCACGGTTTTTTTGGAAGGCAATGAACGAATGTTAACTTTGTTTCTTGCTAAAAACATATTCACTCTCTATGGTCACTGCGTCAAAATTGTATAGTAGATATTGAAGTATATAATTTGTGACCAAGCTACTTAGCAAAGCAGGTTAAAATATTTTTATAGGAAGAAACAGTGACAGAAACTGCATCTACAACTTATGCTTTCACTGCATGCAGTTCCAATAAATGCTTCACTCCTCGACAGGCTCCGTAGCTGGACTTGCTCCTGGCATAATAGTCCAATGTTGTAAATTTAAAAATGATCGTGAACAGCATGCATCTATACAATTTAAAACTGCATTTTTGGCAATCTTAAATTTAAAAGTTCTTAACTCACAATTATTTTACAATTGATTTGTGGTTTGATTTTTGGAAAAAAATATTTGAATTATATAGAGGGTTAAGATTATGAATATTAACTTTATATTCACTCAACATAGATAAAAAGCTTTTATGAATTGTAAAAAATAAAGAAAACCAATAGGAAAGAGGTTGGACTTACCTGACACGTAAGTAAAGAGTTAATTTAATTTAATACTTAATTTAAAAATGCAAACTTAATATTGAAAATTTGCTAACTTACAATGTTTATAATGTTAATATGGCCGATTGAGGGGTGGAATTTCAATTTTTAACTTCCCAGATGGTAAAATTTAAAAAATGTTTTTTTATGCATTATACATTTATCCTACTCATTGGAATACTTTGGCTCCTGTAAACATCAGCCACACAGAATGGATTAGCATAAAAATATTAAATTGTGAAGCATCATGGTAGGTTCTGAAAGGTGCTGTAGATGACTTTCAGCTGTTTCTCTCTTCTGTGTCTTTGAAAAACGTAAATGCCAAAACACACCTTAAAGATAAAACCAGCAAGAAGGGGAGATTATCACAGATGACCAAACAACATAAAAGTATTAACCACATACTCTCAACAGAGTCACCAACTATTCAAATGACAAAGACTGCTTAAAATTATGCACATTTTGAAAAAGTAATGAATCTGTAATATATTTTATAGTTACTTTATTAGTACATATTTGATACACCTTATTTAACCTATACATGCATTTTTCCATTTATAACACAGCCACTCTGGCCACGTTATGCAGAAATGCTATAAACTCAGTATGGTCTGATTTTTTTAAATCATAAATCATTGGATAACAGTTGTAATAATTTTATATTTTAGTTTTATCAAGTGTTATAGTTGTTGCAATAAGTGATGCCAAATTTGCATGAATACAAACAACATGCAAAAATCCAAGGTTAGCGGTAGTGGATAGGGTGCAGCAAAATGAATATATCATATTAGAATGACGTCACCATCATCTTGCAGCAACATCTAAGTTTAATTTCGCTTGCATCTCAACATACTACATACTCTATTCTTGTACAAACTATTTAACAAGATGCACTCCCCTGAGTTACTTCAGCTAATAAATTGCCCTATCCCAACTCACCAAATCATTCCTGCTCACTCTTCTCCACTCCTTCAACCCACAAATTTCCCATATCAATATCCTATCAACAAACTACACAGATTTGGAAACAAAATTAATAACAATATTGACTCTTTTAAAGATTCTCCTAACCAGCTCAGAAATTCCTAAAAACCTATCCTTCAATATCTTTCATCCATTTTCTTAGTTGTATTCAGGATTTTTTAAAAATTAATCTGATATTGATTTATTTATTATTGTTTGAGGTTAGATTTGTGTAGGCTCAAATACATACAAACAAACATATGCCGAGTTGAGCCTATTGGTTTCTCGTGGTTCACTAGCAATTCCAAATTCCAGGCCAAATCACACCCACTCATTCTTAAATACAGTTTTTCTCATTTACATGACATTCACTCCGTTACGGTAGTAGAGTATTTCATATTCCTCCATCACACTTTACAACTAACCTAATTGAGGGTCGATGGGGAACTGGATATTCCGCCATCAGCACTCCTATACTAAACACTCACGCCAGTACATACATTCACCCAACACACACTAGGTACACAAAACTATCAGCACTGTATACAGTAAAACAACCCTGTTTCCTCGAAAAATCGGAACAGGGGAACCATATATTGCTTCCGTGCTCAAGCATGTTTTTCATATATGGCATTCCAACAAGCTATCTATATAGAGCCAATTCCATCCTTCAATTAGATGGAACACATCGAACAACCTTCTCTACATGCCAGACACATATGCAGGTTTTTGGCCCAAAAGTGTCTGTGTGTTCTTCTTCTACGAGTTGCATAGTTGTAAACTGTTACTTTTTTACACAAAAAAAAAGTATGCGGCTGCATGTTAAATAAAATAAATCTTAAAGCAGATAAGTTGAAAAGGCCCTACGTTCTATCAGATTGTGAAGCTACTCTCCTCTGCAGAAAAAAAGAAGAAAATTTTTTTTAGTAACTAAAGAACATAAAAACAATGTGTTGTTAGTATAACCGTGGAAAGCAACAAATTTCATAAGTGAATTAAGATTCACTAGTGTATTTTAAGTGCAGAACAAAGGATACTATAGTAAATATCAGATGAATTTATACATTCATAGTCTAATATGATGAACATCTTATCACAGTTTAAATTAGAATTACATTTTATAAAGAATGTAGATAGGAAACATGGACTTTGGCAATGAGTTTCACCAACACAGAGGGCGACTCATACATGTTGACATCTGTATCACACGTGTTGATTCTATGTGAGAAAAAACAGGCGATAACAGAATCACATGGAGTAGCATCTTTCCCACTGAGTACGAAATACGAATAAATCTGAAATTCATCTTTTCAATAGAAACCGGATATGTTGGGCTTTTCGTTTTTGATCAGGAGGTACGAGGCCTTGAAGAAGAGGACTGTGGACACGACGAACAACACTCTAGAGACAGCGTTGAGGTTCAGCCTTCTACTTTTGTCCGTCTTCACTGTCGTTTGGCTGTCGGTCTTCCTTTATGTCGCTTTTTATTACACCTACGTCCCTAACATCGAGCACATCAAGCCGGTCAACTTGGCGTTCCAGTAAGTAAACAATGTCCCATGTTGTGGTTGGTGCGGTGAAAGGTCTGTCGGTTGCAGGGCGTGCGAGGCTGAGAAGAAGGAAGTCAACAGTGCAGTGTGCAGTTTTCCAAAAGCGCACGTTCTACTCACCAAGTCCAACTCGTTGCTTATGGTAGGCCAACCATACAAGATTACTGTCTTCTTAGAGGTGCCTGAGTCAGATGAAAACAGATCTGTCGGTAAGCCATCGTCATAAACAATTATAATCATACCTTGTATTTCATAATCAGACAAAACAAAGGATTTCTTGTTAGGGTCTTCATAGTGAAAAAAGAAAATTTCAACATTCTAACCATCAATATACAAACGGGCTCAGCATACGGAGCAAATCCTTCTTTTAACTCTCTTGCGTAGCAGACAAGCATATCACAAGCTGAAGCCTTATTCTCGAGTCCTGTAGTTCGAATTCCAAAATTCTGCTTTTCACCTAGGGAAATAAACTGCCACTCTTCACTATTTGACACCTCGCCCATATCTTCATTGTCCATGACAGCTACCCCTAGTTTCAGAGAGGCTGCTCTCATCACTGGCCCGATTACCAGGGGGAGATACTGCTCAAACTGTTTGCCAAGTATTTTACACATTCTTGCCCATGCTGTGATGATAAGAGGTCTGTGGATCGTCATCGGGTAACTCTTGACCTTTGGTGTAAGTTTTAAGAAACAAGTCCATGATTTCTGAAACTTCTATTCATCGCGAATAAACTTCTCTCTTCCAACTGCTAATCCGATTAAACTAACGCACTCTTGTCTTGTCTCGTAGCAATTTGAGTTCTGGCTTGTTTGCAACCTGTTGTTAGGCCATTTCTGCTCTTGTAATCTGCTTATACTTTGTCCATTGGTCAGTCATGCACTTTTTAGTATGAGTTGTGACACAAACACACTGAACATAGTGAAATGCCGAAATGCAAAGGGTAGACCAATGACAAAAAAGACAAAGAACAAAAATTAATTTATTTGCTGTACATTGAATATACTGTTCTAAAAAAAATTAAATGATAATGTAGAACATAATGATGTAAAACAAACAGCCTCCTCTCGACTCACACTAGGTACACAAAACTATCAGTAGTGTGTACAGTAAAACACCCCTGTTTCCTTCAAAAATCAGAATAGGGAAACCATATATTGCTCCAGTGCTCAAGCATGATCCTCATATGACATTCCTACTAGCTCTCTATATAGAGCCAAGGAGTTCCATCCTCCAATTAGGTGGGACGCATCGAACAACCTTCTCTACATGCCAGACACATATGCACGTTTTGGCCCAAAAGTAAGTTTTCTGCTCTTGTAATCTGCTTATCCATTCTGCATTGGTCAGTCAGTGCATACTTTTTGTACATTTTTGACAGGTAACAAAATGTCACAAGTGTTCAGTTCACCCTTCATTTTGGCCTTCAGTTCCACTCCATTGTTCAGCTTGTATGCTGGCACCGACGCTCTATTTGCTTATTGCTAAACAATATGAGAAATTCATCATATGCGCTTAACTTGGTTCTTCTGTAGGGGAAGTTAGGGTTCTAAAAATACACTAAACCAGAAAGAATATTTTTAAGCATTTATTGTAACTCTGGCCTTCCTTAAGAAAAATAAAACAACCAAAATTGTCAAAAATCAAGGCAAGGCAGTCACAACTCTAACTCTAGGATGAGCTTATTGACAAGAGGAGTTACCGCAAATGATGCTTGCCAATTCCAGCTTCCACATCATTCACTGTCTTCCAGATTTCTTTCTACAGCTCCCTGGGTCCTCGACAGTCATCTATTCAACCTGGTACAATGGGGCTAGATGAGTCTTCTCTTCAAAAATTTCATAAAACCCTGCCAACCACCATAAATCATCACATCCAAAAACCTACATTCCAACAAATTCCTTCAAATGCTCCTCTCTAACTGAGGAGACAATGACCACGAGATCCTACGAAGGTGTGAAGTGAAATTGATATTGACAGTATTAATTAAACAGGCAATATTTTAGCGTCATTGGAGTAATACCAATGGGTGTTATCTTCACTCTTGCACATTTCCTATCTCATTGTTTGTTGCACTAGGATCTGAATGAAAATTGGGAAATGAATGAATGTGCGAATGATTAAGTTTTGTTTGAAGGTATTTATTAGCGTGAATGATGGTTGTATCATTCACACAAATAAATACTTTCATACAAAACTTAATTTTCAAACATTCATTGATTTAAAATTTTGTTGAGTCACTGGGTATTTGATATTATGCAGGGGTCTTACTCACAAACTCTACACACTTACTAGTGCGCTGCACAGGGAGCATCTCTGTGACCATAAATGGATAAAACCATCAAGAATCTAGCTTGCATGACTCAAAACAATATTTAACATATTTAAATGCAGTAAACTAGAAGTCTTTTAACAGTATCTTGATAACAGATTAATCTTGGTCATTTTGCCTGTCTTAAATCATTCTTCTAGTTCCTCAGGGAAGATACAAAATTAATTGGAATGAACCAATATTTGTGGTTCTTAGCAATACCATTAAATTAATCAATCTTGTCATGAAGTTTGTTATGGAATTTACATTTATTGTTCTGGTCAAACAATGCAGAAAAATAAATTAAACTTACAGGGTCTGCGGGTGACCTAATCATTAGGGTGTCCAACTCGTATCTACTATAGCAGTTCTGGGTTTGAATCCCGCCTTCTTACTTTTATTTTATTTGAGATTTATGCAAAAAAAAAAAAAAATTGTAAAATGGTTTAAATCCCTCACCCACACTCAAAATTTTTCTATGATGCCCTCATATATTATTGTTTTTTTAAAGGTAATTTTAATAGCTTTTAATAGCAAAGTCTGCTATCATCCTAATTCATGAAGTTAAATAAATACATAATTCTAAAGTTAAAGTATTGTTTGATGTAGAAATAATGTTTTAATTGTTAGGCATGTTCCTCGTTTGTGGAGAGCTTTACAGTCAAAAAGGTGTAACAGTGGCTCATTCATGTCGGTCGACAATGCTTCGGTACAGAAGTCCCCTTCTCAAAGCGCTGAGGATGTTGGCCCTAAGCGGCTTTTACATATTCAACATCCTCGAGGAAAAGCAGACCCTTGAAGTCGAGTTGTTTTCGAACTTTGAAGAAGATCAGGTATTAAAGACTGCCATTTCATCTCATTATCACTTAACCCATTCATGAAATTTCAGAATTATCCCATTACGGATATGCACGTCGAGATCAGGACTGAAAGGATTCAAGTGTACTCTTCAAAAGTGAGAATCGACGCTCATCTGACGGGCTTGCGATACCTTATGTTTCACTGGCCTATGACTAGTACTATTCTAGGCGTTGTTTTCAACATGATTGTAATACTATTCATTATAATGCTGTCATGGTGGCACCTCTACGGGCCTTACAACATAACAGGTCTGTACTTTGATTATACAATACGAATATATTTGGTAATAAACAGAAAAGTTTATTTTCTGTTGCACAATTAATTTAAAGTTAAGTTTATAATAATGAAATTTAAAAAAGGCAACTACTCAACAAAAAAAGTGGTGCACTTTGAAATTTTGATATTTTTTATGTACTGACCTTTTCAGTAATATTAACACTTATATTTTTATTGAACCAACATCACCTATATTTAAATTGAAGTTTCAAAAATTTAGTTATAAAAATAACAAATATACATAAAACTAAAGTATTATTGTTAAGTTAAACTATCTCAACTAGCTATAGATTACAAATATCGTAAGTTTCTTCTTTATTTGGGTACAAATCCTTTTATTATGATTGATAATGATTACTCTGACCAGCTCAATTATAAAATTGGTCTAACATATTTTTGTTCGCATATTGATTGTTTGAAATTATTTTTTGTAGGGGATGATTTTTCATTGGTAAAGTTGAAAGAGAAATTGATTGAGAAAAGTAAGCTCACACTTTACAAATACACGATAGGTAATTGCGAGTTAAAAAAACAACAACTAAATGTGTTTGTCTTAATTGTATGTTAATAATTAATATGAAACCCCTTGCTTCAGCACTGTTTTGTGCTATTTGGGAAAAATCAGTGCATGAAAGAAAATAAAAAAGGAAAATCCACTTTGTACTCATAAAAGTTTTAATAAACATCTATATTTTGTTTTTAACACATTCAGATCAACCGTAACCAAGTTCTCTGTCATAAAATGTGCAATTAATATTACTAATTTCAAATTTGTATAATGTAATATTTACATCAAATCAAACTCGTTGCTAATAATTACATAGCAATAATTGGTGATTTTGCATTAACATCTGTATAATGTGAGCATGGAAAAAATTCCTCTCTTAAAAATATAACATAAATGTAAATTATTCTGATTTTCTAGAGGAAGAAACTGAAGGCTTGTGTAAACCCAGATTTTTGAACTTACAAGAGGAATTTGAGGAAGAAGAAGGCGAGGAAAGAAAGTACTTTCTGGAAAGGAAAGCGTCAAGCAGTGAAGCTTAGCATTCTGGTATTGTCTAGTTTAGTTTACAATCTAGGTCAAACCTGTATGGTGGGACCCATTTAGATAATCTCCCTAAGACTGAAGCAGATAAACCATTTAATTTTTCACTAGTACTTATGTTAAAGAATGTGCTATGATACTTGTGTCAATATAAATTTCGATAAATTGAATATCAAAGTGCCATAAATGAAAAAGTCTTAGGATATTTTATTTTTTTCTAATACTACAATAAAAGTAATGTTTTTAAAATGATGTTTAATTAGGATAATATTAATTTTAACGTTGTTTCCCTCTAGATAGAAACAAATTGAGGTGTACATATATATATTTCATTGTTCACTAAAGTTATTATTTTTTTAATCTCATTAGAAGTAATTTTAATAATACAAGAAAGATTAAAATAATTTACAAAAATCACCAATTTATTAAAAACCTGTTGCACTTCGCTAGTCAAAACATGAACAAACTTTAGTTACCTAATTATTAATTGTTAATTAATTGTATTTTATTATTTTGTTTTGGATAATTTTTTTAATGTTTGTTACCAATATTATTTTTTATAAAGACTATATGGTTAATGTTTATGCTTTAATTTCACAACGAAAAAAAAAAAAAAAAATATCCACGAAATAAATTGCTCACTTATAATGCAGAATATTTTTGTAAATCTTCATAAATACAACTTAAACATATTGTTATGAGTTACAAAATAAAGGATATTTATTAACATCATTGCAGTACAAGTATAAATAGATAAATTTAATGATAATATGAGATTGACTGTAAAAATAAAATTTTTTAGTATGTTGTTTTCTTCTTTTTACTAAATCTTTATATGCCAAAGTAAGGTTTGAACTGTATGCAAAGCAACTCATGAATAGCACCATAACACAGGAATTCGCTGAGCCCCCCCCCCAAAAAAAAAAAAAGAGTGAAGAAATTTGCTCTGGACCTTTTAGACAATGAAACTGAACGAATTGCAACATGAAATTTTCAGATGAAACATGAAATTTAAAATTCATCCAATTAAACTCTTCTATATCTAACTGAAAATAGTCACTGAACATGGCGCAAAGCAGAAACAAAGTTTATAACTGAAAATAATTAAATTTACCAGCAACATACAGAAATGTTCTCTTAAATAATATTGAAAGCATTTATATGACAAAATTATATATATTAATATGTAAAATTATGTAAATTATATGACAAGTTATAATTAGACAAATTAAACTGTCAAATAATTAAAAAATTTTTATATAAAGCATTAATTAATAATAAAGCAATTATATAAAGATTAATTAATTGAAAAAAACATTATTCAGTCAATCGGACCACGAACTATAATGAATATAATTAAAAAAATTTTATGAAACGCCTATATGACAGAAAATAAGATGTCATATTCCCTTTAAATTCTAGAGGCTCTGCTGATTAAAAAATTGCCCATCTGTTGCAACTGAATATTCTGGAATGTACTTTTTAAGAAACTTCAATTGTGAGAATTCAGGAGGACTTAAAATTCAATTAGCTCCTGGGCCAGTGAAAATGGGCTTAAACCATACATAGACAACTAAATGGACATCTGAAGAAGATTGGTATAATCCAACATGGCACGTGCAGATTCTGCAAAGAGCAGACACCAACACACCTACTAACAAACTGGTTCTACACTTGTTAAAAAGTTAAGTTACAATGTTAAAAATCAAAGATTTTAGAGACAATCTATTTAACATTTTGAGGAGGGAAAAATTCTTTCTTCCCAAGTCCCCGTGTTTTTTTTTTCTTACGAGGGTTCGCAACAGTAGAGGTTATATCAACCCTCGGGGTACAGGTGTTTTTGAAAAAAAAAAAAAAAAAAAATTTGTAAGTATGCCGGGCTCGAATGCAGGGCCGCTGGATTCGAACCCGGGACCTTACAATTTTTTTTTTTCCAAAAACACCTGTACCTTACAGTGATGAGCGCTGTGTCAACGTCTAAACAGTTGCGGCCACCGACGTTCACAATCGTCTAATTGTGAGACATTATTTAGTTTACTGTGGAAACATAAAAATAGCCAAATAATTACAGCTATATATTTTTTGGGGTTAAAATAAATTATAAGGTACAAGGTAGGTCAATAATTATTATGTTTTGTCAAAATTTATCTCGCTCGCTGTTGACGATAATCTGGTCCGTCTCGCTGTACCAACAGGCTTCAATCGGAGGCCTGGTAATTTTTGATCAACCACCGTCTAAATTAGACAATTCTCATGTGCCCAGTGGTTTTTTTTCTCGTCTCTAAACCGACGATTTAAACTAATAAAAAAACTCGATTTTCTTCACGCGTCATACAATTTACAATTTTTTGTCCACATTTAATATGCATTGAAAAAGTTCGTTGGGAGGCTGAGTTGACGTGCAGAACAGCATGTTGCATATTGCATGCGGGACCCTGTGTAAACGGCTTTTGAAGAAAATTGAGTGGCAATATTAGACAGGTAAACACTTCCGCCGGCACTGATTAACTCCACTCCTTTAGCGGTGTCGCAAAAAACACTTGTCCTCGTTAATCATAGGTCCATCCATCAAATGGAAAAAAAAAATCACCAGAGAATTTTAATATTTATTTCATATTTTGATGGTGTTCTTTTATATTTTTAGGTTAATGTTCAAGTTAAAATGTACAAGTAGAGAATGAAATCATTATTTTGTTATGTTCATCCCCTCGCATGATGGGTGAAGCAGTGGTTCCCAAAGTGGTCCCTACGGACCTCCAGGGGTTCCCGGTATCATTCAGGGGGTCAGTGGAAAATTAAAATTGATTTGGGGGTCTCTAAACAACGTCAGGGCGTCCGAGCAAGGTTTAATATAAAATAATATAATATAAATAATAATATAAAATAATTCTAAAATGTTTAAATCGTTTTTATGCGCTCTTTGATTCAGTGTTGGCATTCCTGGAAACCAAAGACAATGATTTGCGACAAATTTAATTAACTAAAAAAATGACATAGCCTATACGTCTGATTTATTTGCCAAATTTAACGAAACAAATTTGAAACTACAAGGTGACCAATTAAATTTAATCAAAACTAAAAGTGTAATAGCTGCGTTTGTTGAAAAACTTTTTCTTTACAAACAAAGCCTGGGAAGAGGAGGATGCTCTCAGTTTCCAAATCTTTCGAAATTGCAAATTAGAGATGAAGATTTGCTTGCTTACTGTCAACACTTAACGGCTCTTCATACAGACCGGACCCAAAGATTTGAAGATAATCATCACTTGGATATTCCCTACTGGGTGTTGAACCCTTTTGCACGTGGACAAACCCAGGTCCCAAACACAGATGAATCCATGCTAATACAGGAGCAGCTTATTGAAATATCCACAAATGAGTAAGTTAAACCAATGTTGGAACGAGGATACCAAAAATTCTGGCTACAAAAACAGATCCCAATTTTATATCCTGCATTAAGGGTTGTTGTACAAGTTGTTGACTGGTTTCCCGTCTTTCTATTTGGTAAAACGTGGATTCAGTGCCGTTATGAACCTCATGATGAAAGAAACAAACCGATTAGAAATTATATACTCATAACATCTCATCACGTTCATCCAAGTCATTAATTTTTTTATATTTTATTTTCAACAAAAGTAATTAATATTATAATTTATAATTTCAAAAATACTTCTTCAACAAAACTTTTTTTTTTTAATTTCAATTTGTAATTTGTATATTATGCATTTAATTCACTAGTTTTCGTGGTCCGCTTGACCAATTAATATCTTTCAATTAATTAAGGTTTTTAGTTGAGATAAAAAAGTCAGTGTCACGAGCGGGATTCGAACCCACGACCTTCAGCTAGATACGCCGCTGCTCTACCACTTGAGCTATCGTGACCTCGATCCACTCGGACACTAACTTACCATCTCAACCCCACCTTTTGAATTTTCCCTCCTTTTTGCCACAACTAAAAATCTTAATTAATTGAAATTATGCATTTATGTGGCTTTTTCACTTGGGGTCCGTGGGCAATTTTTGACTATAAAAAGGGGTCCATGGGTCAAAAAAGTTTGGGAACCATTGGTAGAGATGGACAGTTTACTAGGGGGGGGGGTTGTGATGTAGCCGATTCTTTTGCCAAGACTTTTGAAAATAATTTTTCATCTCCTTTGAGCCGTTTGATCACTTCTTTTTTCTCCGATCGTTTGTCCTTAGGTTGTCATCTACAGAATGAAACACAATACATATACAGGATGTCCATTTTAGATGGCCTAGCTGAATTTCTCTTGAACCAGTGACGCTAACAGAAAAACAGAAAATGCAGGATTAATAATTTTAGTGTAGTTTCAAATTTTTACCTTTTTTTGGAAAAAAATTATACATGGTATCTCAGGCCCAGTACAACTTCAAAATTTCAAATACGACTCGATACATCCTGACATCATTTTAAAATACTTTTTCGCTGAAAACAATGGTGCACTAATGGTGTAATCGTATTTTAAGTTCGTCAAAAGATATGGTTAAAAGTTATGGCAAAAAGTAAAAAAAAATGAACTGCCTGCCTTGCGTAAAGATGCAAAGATTTGCTCTTTTTAACCACTGTTCACCGGTGCTCAGAGCGATAGAGTCAGGGGAGATGGATTGACAAGCATTTTCCATCCTTTGCCGCAATTATTGAACTTAGGTTGCTTGGTTATAATTGGCTTAGACATTGTTTTTTAAATGCCCCCACAGAAAATAGTCAAGTGGAGTTAAATCGGGAAATCGAGAAGGCCGACAGATCGGGCCAAGAGGTCCTATCCACCTATGCCAGAAGTGACGATTCCAATAACGTCTCACCTGCAAAGAATTGTGTGCGCGGCATCCATCAAGCTGGAGAATCATTCTTTTTGTTCATTGTTGCAGAGGAACATCATCTGATAGTGTTGGTAAAACCTCCTTCAAAAAATTGAGGAACTGAGCACCATTTAAATTATATACATCACCTGTATATGCATGACCACGAACATGGAAGTCCGGTCACTTTCATTCCACCAGAGTACTCTATATTCCTCGGGGTGGGGTTGAACCAATTCAATTCTCGCTAATAACTTACTCTCCAGATATCACACACTCACCCCAGAGTAGTCAATATTTCTCGGGCGGTTTCCTTTCACGCTAATAAATTACATTCACTCCGATAGATTTAGATAAACACAACCCAGACTCAAGTACTATATTCATTTAAAAATCCCTATAATCTTGAGGTATCAGAACAGCGGATCTATGCTGCGCCTGAACGCGCAGGTCCGACGATGTATCAAAATATTGCCTACAAACGTCAAGCCTTCAATATCTTTATTGCATTTTATCATAGTTATTATTGTTATTGAGTAATATTGAGCCGAAAGTCGTGGGTTCGAATCCCGCTCGTGACACTAATTTTTCATCTCAACCAAAATCTTTGATAAAAAGAATAATTAATTGGAAGAATTAATATGGTAAATTGTGACCACTAAGCAAATACGGGTTATCATTATTTTTTAACTGTATTTTTGTTTGTATGACGTATTAGTTGGGCATTATTCGCAATTGTAATTTTACATAAATAAATAAATGTTCATTTTTTCTATCCTTCATACAATCATTCAAATTGTTTTGAATCCAAAAAAGGGTTTGCGGGTGGTGT